TAATAATTTCTCCCCTTCTACATTTTGGGATATATGTCTCCATATTTCTAAAATAATTTTTTGCATTTTCTTCAGATATTCCTCTTTCTCCATGTTCTATATAACGAATTAATTCTTCCTCGTTACTAGGATTTTTATTTCTGACAAAATCCTTCCATTGAAAAAACACATTCTCAAAAGGATTAAGATACGGACTATAGGGTGGTAAATATTTCAATGTATGTCCTTTTTTTCGATCGATTCCCTAATTGAATAATTGTGATGAAATGGAACATTATCCATCACAAAAATCATATTAATCATGTTAGATTCTTTAAAATGATTTAATATTTCATTTATAAAGTTGCTAAAATATATAGCATTGCAAGGGCCATCAAGAACTTCGAATCAAAATATTCCTGCAATTGTGAGAGCCGCAATGATAGTGTAATTTATTGTCTTTATTCCTTGAACATTTTTAATTGCCTTTTTATTTATTTGGGAATATCCATATAATCGCCTCATTGATATTGAAAACCCGCTCTCATCGATAAATATAAATTTTTTCTTCATATATGCTACATCTACAAACCAATTCGCGTATTCTTTGCGAATCTCTATATTTGATTCGTTATTTTCTCTAACTGAACGTAATGATACTCTTTTAAAGATGTACCTAAATCCTGAGAGTAACCTTGATACCGTATTTTTTGATATTTCCACTTTCTTTAATGATTTCACATAACCTTTTTAAGGATAAAGTGCAATCCAAATTTATACAATTTAATATATATTCTTCCTGCTCTTTATTTAATTTCTTGCCTGCGCGTGAACCTCCTTTGGGTAAGCTATATTTTATTCCATTTTTTGAGATAGAGTATTTAATATTTGTCACTGTCTTATAGTTTACTTTAAAACATGATGCTATATTTTTGATACTATCTTTTTTTAACGCGTCAATTATTAGAGCTTTTGTTTCACTGTTAATATTTTTTCCCCTTTTTCCCATATCTTCATAATTTTATTTTTTAAAACAAAAAAATTTATTTTTAAAGTATATACTCAACAAATGGAAGTGAAAAAGATTATAAAATTTACCTCATTTGCGTTTAATTTCATAAATCAAAATAGTTTAAAAGATAATTAAATTACAAAATAATTATTTACTTGCTAAAAATAGTGTTGTTAAACGCCTCGTTTTGAGCAGATTTTTAAAAACGGCTAACTCAATATTTTAGCCAGAAAAATATTGCCTAAGCCTCGAGATTTCGATTATATATGTATAGACCTTTGTTCCTTCTATGAGCAAAATCTTCCGGATTGCGTAATATTTTTATAGATGAAGTATTGTGTTAGCCGTTTTTAAAAATCGGCTCAAAACGAGCCGTTTAACAACACTAGCTAAAAAGAATAAATGCGTTTTGAATATATTAAAATTTTAAAAATATAAGAATTTTAAAATGATTATATTTTATTAATTTACATATCGTTTGGTATTACAGTTCAAACTTATTTATTATAACCAAACGATTAATTTAATATTGTAATTATAAATATGTATGTAAAAAATAGTCTGTCAAAAAAAATAATATAATTTTAAAAAAGAATTATCAAAAATGAGAAGAAAAGATATAGTAAGAAAAATAAATTGAGAAAAGATACAAATAAAGTAAAGAAATAGCAAAAGTTAGGAATAAAATAAGAAGGAATGACAAAAAATAAATAAAATTTAAGAAAAATTATAAAAAAATTACGATTTTGCTTTTTGAATGGGAATTTTCCTTTTAAGATTGAAACTTTCCCTTTTTTGATTGGACCTTTTCCTTTTTTAAATGGGAAACCCTGTATGTTGAGGGCATGACAGTCATACCCATCAAGACAAAAAATGAATAATTTAAATCTAAAGATATTTAAATTAGATTTTATTTGATACCCATATCGATATTTTGTGGTGATAAAAATATTCCTGACCCCCCAAGACCTAGACTTGCCCTCTATGCGTGATTATTATTATTACAATATATATATATTTTTATTAGCTTTTATTTGATACCCATATCAAAAAATTTTATTTTTTACCCCCCCCCCCAACCACCCTCAGACCAAGTCATACCCACCCAGACCAAGAATGAAAACTTTCAGTTAGACCATATTATAATTAGCTTTTATTTGATACTCATATCAAAAAATTTATTTTTACACCCCCCTCCACCCTCAGACAAAGTCATACCCATCCAGACCAAGAATGAAGACTTTCAGTCAAATTACAAAAATGAGAAGAAAAAAAATTGAGAAAAGATACAAATAAAATAAAGAAATCGCAAAAAGTTAGAAATAAAATAAGAAGGAATGGCAAAAATAAATAAATTTAAGAAAAATTGAAAAGTTTATATATTTTTTTTAAAATATTACGATTTTCCTTTTCTTTTGGTTCCTTTTTCGATTGACACTTTTCCTTTTTTGATTGGACCTTTTCCTTTTTTGTTTGACACTTTTCCTTTTTTGATTGAACCTTTTCCTTTTTTGTTTGACACTTTTCCTTTTTTGATTGGACTTTTTCCTTAACCTTTGGGACTTTTCCTTTTTTGATCGGACCTTTTCCTTTTTTGATTGAACTTTGTTTGACACTTTTCCTTTTTTGATTGAACCTTTTCCTTTTTTGATTGGGACTTTTCCTTATTTGGATGGGAAACCCTGTAAGTAAATTCGAAAAAAAATTTCGGGGTTTTTTTTTCAGGGATTCAAAATTAACAACTCTTTATTTCTTCTTTTCTATTATCAGGTTAAAAATTGATTATTAAATTAATTTGTTAAAATTGAAATTAGCCTTTTCAAAAACAATAATGAAAAAAAAAGAAAATTAATTCGTTATAATAAGCTTATATATTTATCTTAAAATTCAAGTATATAATTTATATAAGTAAAAAATGAATAATATTTATTTCTTCTTGGTTTAGAAATTTTTAGATCAAGTTATTTTATCCATTCATATTAGAGATCTGCAAGAGTAGGCTCAGCCCGTACCCAGCCCGAGTGGGCTTTGGGCCTAATATTTTTAAAAAAAATTTGGGCAGGGTTGAACCTTGGAATTTTTTTTAAAATAAAAATATTTGATTTTATTCATAGAAACTAGATGCCATATAACATATATACCTTTTATTTTGTTATTATAAAAATTAATTTCTATATTTAAATATAATCTGGCCGGCGGTAAATTTTTTTTAAAAAAATTTCAGGTTCGGGCCAGCAGGTCTAGGTGGGTTTGAAAAATTAGGCCCAATGCAAATCACTAATTCATATAACATGAGAAGTTCATTTTTAAAAAATTTATGAGTTTCAATTATCATTTTTATGTATTGGTCATAGGTGTCATAAATTGTAAGATGTTTTTTATAAAATGTCAATCAATTTTATGATTAAATTTATATCTTTTTTTTGATCATTATTATTTTTGAGGTCGAATTTATAAAGCCCATTTTTATAAGTAGTTAATTTTGGATATTAAAGAAATAAAAGTTTATAAAAAAATCCTAAAGTATCACATTTTTTTAGCTTGAGTGGGAATTAGTATTATTGACGTTTCCTGCGATTTTTGACTTTCATTTTTTTCTGCTTTATTTTGATAATAGGCTTATTCAAAAATGAATTTGAATCGAATAGTGCATTATTTAAACGAATCGAATAATTTACTATTCGTATTCGTACAAATACTAAAATCTACTATTTTTATTTAATTCAAATAATTGAAATTAATTTTATTAATAAATTATATCATACTCAAATATATTGACAAATTTTTTTATTGCAAAAAAGATTTCAAACAGAAAAAATTATAATAAAAATTTGATAATAAAAAATATGTAATCAATAATCTGACGATAAAAAAATATGTATCAAGTTATAAACAAAATTAAAATGTATATAATTAATTTAATTTTTCTTATATTTTCTTCCTAATATGATATGCAATTTTTTGACAACAAATTAGTTCCAACTAAGAAAAGTCTTTCACAAGCGGTTGATGTTCCTTGTATATATAAGTAATCCCTAGGTGTGAATGAACCTATTATAATGATTAATAAGAGGGGATGTTATTCTGCCTTTACAATTTATAATGCTCTATGATTGCAGGCAGCCTTTTCATCGTCTCTATTGATCCCATATAATTGCTCTTTTTGTGAGGAAATTTTGACAAATTCAACATCAATAACTATTTCATGAGAAGAATTCTCCTCTAACATAATTAGGCTACTAACAATAATTTATTTTAGAGATGTATTATATTTTTATATACCTTTATTTGTGAAATTTTTTAATATAATTTATTATGAGATTCAAAAAATAAACTTCTCGTGAGATTCAAAAAAATACGGCAAATGAAAATTTAAATATTGCTTTAGTATTCACTTTAGAGATTTTTTAAATTTGTGCTAGTCTTTTTATAAACACATTACTTGTCAGATTGGAAGAACATCAAATAGAAATCACAAATGTTTGATTTATTAAAAGCAATTTATTAAATTTTCCAAATTTGTTTCATTCAAATCAAATAAATAATTAATCGTATTTGGATAAAACAAATAATTTATTATTCAAATTTTTTTGAATAGGCCTAATTGGCCAGTAATAAAATTGAAAAGGTACAGTCTATACTGATATTGACAGTAGTGATCTACATCTAATTTTTCAAGCTAGGCCCAAAATTTTTTAAAAAAATATTTGTCTGGCTTGGTTTGATCCAAATTTATTTAAATATAAAAAATTTTAATTTTTTTATATTGTAAAAAAATATTCTACAAATAAAAATATTAGCACCTTGTTTCTTGCAATTTTAAAATATATCAATTTATTTGACAAAAGGTAATGAATGATATCATATTTAAAAATATATACTCAACCCATCCCAAAATTTTTAAAAAAATATTAGACCAAACCCAGCCTGAGCCAAAATTATTTTTTACAAATAGACCATGTTTTGCAGATCTCTAATTGATGGTACTGATTATTTTAAAGAGTTTAACTTGTTTAGCTTGTGCATTCCACAAATACCAAAATTTTCTGTCACTAAAATTTACAAAACTGGCACCACTTCCTCTTCCACCTTTAAAATCCATAAGTCCAGCTCCAAAATTAAGATTGTTGTTGCTTCCAGTGACTGAAGGTTTATCAACCTCTCTACTAGGAACTTTAAATGATACTGTTTCATAAGGCTCAGCAGCAAATAATAAGTATTGCCATTTTTTATCAGGAGGTTCAACTCTTTGTTCATAAGCAGACATGAATCGGTGTCGAGGGGCTACATTTTCAGCTATTTCAGGATAATCAATTTGAAACAACAAGCTACATTGTCCCGTATCAGGGTCTCTTTGTTTAGTAACCTGTTAAATCTTTGGTAATATAACTAATAAATCATATTTTAAACACCTTATAACCTGGTCTTCCAATTTTAACAAATTTTTTCTTAGCATTACTACTTGCCAAAGATTTTTGATCAGATAAAATAATATTAGGTTGCATTTGTTGTAATGATGAAGAATCTTTAGCTTCTTTAGCAGCTCGCCTAGCTAGATTAGATTGATGCTTTTTGCCTTGTGTATGAGCCAAATAACTGCCTTCATTGTTATGTAACGTCAAACATAATTTGCATTCATATGTCCCCAAATGATTTTTCATAAAATAAGGATCCTAAAAATTATTAGATAGCATCTACAATTTAAGTTATACTTTAGAGAGATCAATAGTTTCAAGAGCTAATTGCCTTAACCTTTCTCTTCTATCTTTATTAGTTTCTGACCAAGATGCCACTCCACCAGAACCAGTTTTTGCACCAGGCCTATGTTGGTAATCCATGAAAATTGTTTAAAAAAATGGCGTTTAATAAAAGATTTAAGTCCTCAAAAAAAAAAGATCTTTAAAATGAATACAAAATATGCTGAGAATGGAAACTGAATAGAAGATAGGGTTGGCTTTATCTATGTCTAAGGCATTCAAAACTGGCGCAAAAAAGGTGGCAAATCAAGAAATATAATTTTAAAAAATGTAATAAATGGAGAGCAGTTGTATTTATAGAGTATAGGGTTTAGGAGAGAGAATTATTACTCATTTTTTATCGGTTAATCATATAATAATTATATTTTTATTTTTTTGAAAGTTTATGTTATTTTACTACTATAATCCAGTAGTGACTTCTACTAACGGGCATTTTTTGCCTTCTACATTTATGTTTTTAAAAAATCTGGGAATAAATTACGACTTTTCACAAATGAACCCAGAGAATTTCTTTTTATTCTATAAAAAATTCAAACATAGACACAATTATGGTTCCTTTTTGGGGACTCAATTGTAGAATTTTATTTTTAATTATATAATTAAAAATTTATAAATTATAATTTTTTTAATTAGGTTTTATGTAAATTTCAAGATATTTTATCTAATTTTATTTTCTTCAAATGAAGAATAATTTATAAATTAAATATTTTCCCTAATACATGCAAGTTTTTATTTATCTGAAAATGAAGTATTGGGAAGGATAAGAAGATGTAAATGTGAATGGTGTATTAGAGAGTGAAGGTAAATTTTTAAATTTCTTTTATATAAGTTATATACCTGGAAATAAATAGTTTTAAAATCAGGTTTTAGGATCAAGCCATTTTTTTATTATTTTGCTCTCAATATAAATTAAAATAGGTTTCAATAAATGGTTAAAAAGTTGTAAATGTTATGACATTATTTCATATTTTATATCTTTTATTATATATACTATTAAACCCATGGGATGGGCAGTATCGCGGATATTTGTATCCTTGTATCTTTTTTAAAATTTTGGAAAGTATCTTGCATCTAACATACATATTATTAAAAAAAATTTTTATATTAGTTAATTTAAATAATATTAAAATTTAAAATGATATTATTTTAAAATTTTAATGAAAAATTTAATCCAAATTGGGATATTTTAAAATAATATATGATATTTTGGTCGTCATATAGCAATTTACAAACAGCTAACATATTTTATTTGAATCGTTTTATTATATTCATTTATTTTGAAAAATGATTGAAGAAGAAGATAGAATATTATCTTTATCTTCGTCTCCTACAGAAGAATATAATCATAAATTTAACTTAAGTATTTTAAATGGGAAATTTTCAAGTCACTCAACATGAACATACCAATACAAATAATAAAATTACTGCAGAAAGAATGTAAATAATACCACAAATACTGCAGAGTTCCTTTAAGGCAGTTTAAATAAAATAATTAATTACACAATGCTGTACGAGATGTATAACATGTTTGATAGCCTTAGTTTATTATAATTTAAAAGCGAACTTCCATAATTATGTGAAAAATTAAAATGTCCAAAACTAAGATATATTGAAATGCAACATTTAGAAGAATATTCCCATATAATTCCTCATTGGTTATAGCGATTGACAAAATACAAAACAAGATCAACTGATATTGCAGAGAATCAGCTACAATATTAGATGTCGTTAAAAAAAATCACAAATTTAATTCAAACTGATCTACATTTTTGGAAACCATTAGCTATTGCAGTAGAAAATTCTTTAAATATAAGATTTAAAAATATATATGAATTTGATGATAACTTTAAAAGCGCATTTTAGCTACTATTTCTCATCCTTACTTTAAAAATCGGTGGATTGATGGTGAAAGAAAATATTTATACATGTAGCTTTAATTATTTTTAAAAATAATATAAATATTAATATATGAACAAAATCTTCATTGATGAAGATGATGATTACTTTTTTTTTAAAGTACCACATCCGATTCTACTAATTCAATAAATGATATTGAATTAGAAGTACTAAATTATATAAAAGATGACAGGAGCAATATTATCTCAAATAGTTATAAATATAAAAAAGAAATATTTATTAAATTTAACACAATATTGCCATTCTCTGCCCCCGTTGTACGATTATTTAGCTTTGCTAATATGGTCAATGGACCAAATCGTCAAAGACTGAACGACATATTATTTGAAAAATTAATCATATTAAAAAATAATGCTGATTTATGATGTTGATTTATCGATATTTACTAATTAATTTTAGTTCTGAAATTGTTTTCATTATTATAATATATAATTTTTTTTAAAAAATATCTTTAAATCGCATTATCTTATATAATAAATTTGTTATTTTCTACAATTTATTTTCATATTTGTTATAAATGTATATTATAGTTAAAAATATAAAGCTTGATACATTTGATTTTGACTATTTAAAGTTTTTTAAAAAAAGTATATTGTATCTTAGATACTTTTTTTTTAAAAAAAGATACAAGTATCTTATTAAAATTTTTCCAATGTTTCTAGTATCTTGTATCTTAAGTACAAAATTTTATAAAATATTTGTATCCGAATACAATTTTCTGAAAATTTTCCCAACCCTGTATTTTTAATGAGAGAAAACAATTTATTTTATTAAAAGAATTAAATAAGTTCAATATTATGACATAAAAACATCGGAATATGTTGATAAATCCTCAATATCTAAATATATAATTTAAAGTTATGGGTTATTATATTAATTACATTCTAATTATTTGATATGTTTTAGCAGTGCAATTATTAGCTGCTAAGAAACATTAATCCACATCATATGCGAGAATTACTGGTGGGAATTATGGATTGGATGAAGATGTTTATGATTGTATTGTTATAATTGTTGCAGCTGTTGAAAATGGAAATTAAATAATATAAATAAAATAATATATTATAAGAAACGTCCATCAATTTGGATATTATTTGTTAGTGTTTTTTTTTTATAAAGCATTCATTATTTGTTTTTTATGGATTGAAAATAAAACTAATATTAGAAGGAAATTTTTCAGTTTCTCTACAATGGTGCCGTGACCAGGATTAGAGGTCCGAAGTGGGCGGAATTCACCTAAATAAACTATATTTATATATATATATTAAAAAATTTTTTTTTTTAACAACTCCAATACAGGTTAGGTTGAATTTTTGTAATATGAAATGGGTTTGTATTTTAATTTATAATGAGCCTAATATTTTATAAGAATTGTTGTTATCACGTTCTTAATAAAAAGTTTAATGAATTGAATATAATTGGTCATTTAATTACTATATTGTTATTTTTAGTAATATATGTATTATTCATAGCGTTGAAAATTTGATAAATAAATGTCGAAGAAAAAATGATATGAAAAAAATCTGTGGCATCTGATTGAAAAATGTTTTAGGCTTGGAAAGTAGTTTAAATTTAGTTTTAAATGAAATCAAGAATGATGAACTGTTAAAATTTAAAAAGATAATCAGTGTTATCATCCGAATGTGTGGAGAGATCGGTGGTTATCCTCCAAGAATTAAAAGAAATAAAAGAGGTAATCTGTTATATACCAGGATGTATGTCAATTGATGAATGTGAATAATAACACTGAAATGCCAGTTATGGGGTAAAAATGATATTAATAAAAAAAATGGTCTTAATGAAAAAAATGGTTTTTCAGGAGACAAAAAATTTAGTGAAAATTTTAATGTTAAAAAGAATATTTTAAATAATATTATATGTAACCGTCGTGATTATAAAGGACACAAGGTTGAAACTTGTATGGTCAAAGAACAAAATTGTCATGGGGGTTTTCCGTTAAGAAAATCGATATTGGAAAATTCTAATGTAAGAAAAATTTCGGGTATTAACACAAATAAATTTGATGTGTTACAATCAGATTATGATGATTCTCGTTTGTGTTTTAAGTGTAAAAAACGGGACACGTGGTCATGAATTGTCTAAATGTTAAATAATTTCTGACTATATGATTGCAGGTGTACATATAAAGATTGAGAGACCTAGAAATTATAAAATTTATTTTAATAAAGTATATGATAATGGTAAAATGAGATATATTTATCATTAAAGGAATGATTATGATAGAAATTTTTATTATCATGATGATAAAATTAAAAATGTTAAATATCATTATAATCCGAATAAATGGGATTATAATAATTTTAAATGGGAAAAATATCTTATGGGTATTGTAAAAAAACATATCAATATTGCTAAAAAGCCTCTATATTCCTAGTTGAATTTATGCAATCAGAAATCGAGCCGTTTAACAACACTATTATTTTCAATTATACTACCATAAGTTTAGATTCATGGGCAATAGAAAAAAATGTGGAAATTATCATGGGGTGGGATTGGATACCAAAATCGGACCTCATAATAATTATTAAAAAATTTTTATCATTGATAGCGAATTGGCTAATGATAATGCTGAAATTAAAATAATTACGGAGAGCATCCGAAATAAAATTCAGGAAAAAAAAGTCTAATTTATTGAAGGAAAGAAGCCTGTTCCTAAAAAATTAATGATAGAGTCGGGTAACTCTAAAGTAAATATTGAAATTGATAAAGATAAGATGATAAATTTTGAAAGTAATGAATTAAATAAAGTTAATAATGCTATACCTATTTTAGTTAAAAAATATGGTATAATTTTTGAAGAAAATTTAGGACGTATAAATGATTATCAAGTAGACAAAGAAGATTTTTCACCCATTTCTTGGCATGTCGAAGAGTTCCTTTTGAATGGAAAAAGGAAATAGAAGACGAATTAGACAAATGGGTGAATGATGGAATTATTATTCCGATTGAATATAATGAATGTGGATCCAGTAAAAAAATATGATGGAAAGTTGAGGCTATGTGCTGATTTCCGTGTTACCTTAAATCCAGTGGTTGTGGAAGTAAAATATTCATTGCCTAGAATTGAGGAAATTTTGGCAAATTTAAAAGGTGCAAAATATTTTTCCAAAGTTGATTTTTCTTCTGCGTATTTACAGTCACCTTTAAAGGAGGAAATTCATAAATTGTTTACGATAACAACTCCTAAAGAATTATTTGCCTT